ATTGACTAACCAATCGCCTTGGTTAACAACAATGGATCCGGAAATGGTCACCTGAAAATTATAATCAGTTATCTCCATAAGGTGATCCTTACTTGGTCCTTACATTACTGGCAGAGACATCAAAGCCATCGGTGTTCACTCCGACTGGCTCCCCGTTTGATCCGAGTGCATTACCGTCCCCATTGGAGACGGTGACAGCAGTGAACAACGACGTAGGGTTTGTGGCTGAGATTGGAAGCGTCAGAACCACACGTCAATGTTTTATCGATGACCGACGTACCAATAGAGATAGCTTGTGCTGGAGAATCCCTAATGGTGAAGTTGGTGAAAGTTCCGGAGCCCTGGAATCTGTTATTTGAGTTAGTTCGGGTTACTATCAAAGGAGAGCTCATAAACATACTCCACTAATGGATGAGGCTTGAAAGTGCCACCCGAGGTACCTAGGCTTCCATTAGCGTTACAAGTATATAGATATGCACTTCGTCAGCTGCCTTGCCCGTCCCAGTACACTGCAATTTGTTTTTAGTATTTGGAAAATTTTAGAATGAGGACGAGAGCGGGAACTTGAACATACATGGGCCGTTTCCTTCGAAAATAAAACCATTCCCATTGAATAAAGCGTTCTGGAAACCGTAAGTCCAATGCGCCAAGTCAAGTGCAAAAACATACACTAGTGTTGAATGTGAATAGAGGACCGGGCGTGGTTGTCTGCGCGAAGGTGACGGAACCAGCCAGCAGAATAGACTGCAAGGTCAGTCAGGGTAATATCAATCTAAAAACTAAGAGCACTCACAGCACCAGGTGCTGCCTGTCGGTGCAGCTGGCTTTAGTTACATAGTCCGTAAATGAAGAAACTAAAAAGTAAGTGCACCGTAATGTTTATGGTATCTATAATATGCGGTGAGGATCGAGTCGTATTGATGTGAAGGAAGTGATACTTACTGCCCGCGGGGACGGTGAAAGGGGTGATAATAACTTCTGTGCAGGACAAAAGATTAATTGAGCTGGCTACTGAATCGACGATACAAATGGCGCGCTTGGCTGTAGACACTGGAGTCAACGAGGCCACACTGGAGAGCATACATGCTAGGGCGGTGAACACGAAAAGAAACATGTTGGAAATTTAGAATGGGGAATCGTTTCGAGACATTTTAAAGGCTCGACGGCCCGTTTAGAATCATTAGCTTGTATCCTTAGCCACCTTGCACAGTTGGGAGGCACACCGCAAGAATATCTACCAATATTTCACCAGCCTGTTGAGAGATATTCTTTCGACACGAGGTCCTCCAATCAGAATTGCAAGATTCCGACAAATTGCAAGGGGTCCTGGAACTGAATAATATCAGTGACGCTGAGATAAAACAAGAAGTATGATGAGATGAGCCATCCATCTATCCAACAAGTCCGAGCCGCGATGAGAGGTGGAATTTATAGAGTGGGTTATTAATGTACCTGACCCCTTGGCTCCTACGCATAATGGCCTCCATCGCTGTCGCTTTTACGTTAAAATGGCCTATCTAAACGAACAAAGAAAGGTTGGCTATCGATGCTAGGAATTTTTAGGGAAAAAAGAAATAAAACCGCAATTAGTAAGTAGCAATGGATGAACCGAGTGGGAATTGCGGGTGCCTTTTACTCCTTGAAATGTGGTCAGATGTACTTTCACCTCGTTGTACTTACTTACTTCAGGGTTGAGTCGCACCAAACCTCCCACGACGGGAGGAAGCTGGCGCGAGCTACGCGGGGTCATGCTAAATCGTTTGCGACGGGCTCGTTTATTACCATACACCGAGAACTGATTCCAGCGCGTGCGTCCATATTATGTGCTTAGATCTTTCAATCGAGATGATGCAAGTCTACCAGAGGTAAGTCTCTCAATCAAGCGAAAATCTTCACGCATCGAGAATTTCAAGTTCGAGCCTGTCTATGTAAGATTGGCTATGGCTAAGACCAAACCGAAGTACGCTTGATTTCCCAGGTACCAAAGACGTATTTCGAATGCGTGAGCGATCCTTTTGTTTAGGCGGTGGCCATACATAGAGTTTAATTTAGTTTGTAGGTGCTTCTCATAAGGAAAGCCTGGATCGACAAAAAATCGAAACTCGACATACCACCCGTCGTCTACCACTACAAAGGTCCAAGTTCGCTTCGAAAACACAAGTATAACTTTGTCTTGAGACAAGTAGCACGTAATACGGCATAACTCCATCTACATCGAAGACTGGCTTGCAGCGGTTTCTAGAATTCGACAGTTTGGTGGCAAGAGCCAACGGAGCAGAGGGTTTTGAACATTGAAAAGTTGCGGTGGTTGGCGGCCACTGAGAGATAAGATGCCCAACGATATCGATAGACCAGAGCCATTTTTTTCTTCGTTATACGGGCTTTCGAGCTGAAAGCGCAAGAGAATCTCCCTCGCTGATGGCATCGGGATGTTTATGAGCGGTCTGGTGGGCAAAAACGTCCCGAAATGGCTTAAGAAACCTAGGAACTTGAAGGAGATTGTGGCGAGTGGGCTGATATTTTGGCCAAGTTTTCAGTTAAGGTGTACAGTGACTAAGGGCCTATATTATCCAAAGACTGCGAAGAGACGAACTGGCTTTTGGATGAGAGAAAGGAAAAGTTAACAAGCGCCCGTTGGTGATTGCCACGTTATGTATCATCGGCGCGCGTAAAAGATCTTTCCTTTTGCTTTATTCCGAATTCTTTTCAAGATGCTTCAAAGTCCTACGGCTTCCAGCTGGACTCGAGTCTCGCAATTAGAAGTGCTGATTACTCGGGCCTGCGACCCGTCACTTCCAGAACCAAATTTTGCAGCTCATATCGAGGTGGCAGAGTACATCAACTCGAAGAAAGCCAACAAGTGCGTAAACAGCAGAGAAATTTTGTGTATGAATTCTAATAACTCTGTGAACAGCCCTCGTGAAGCAGCAATGACCATCGCGAGACTCGCCAATAACCGGAATCCTCATATATCCATGCTCTCTCTCGCTCTTCTTGACACTCTCACTCAGTCCTGCGGATACCCATTCCATCTCCAGATTTCCACAAAGGAATTCTTGAACGAGCTTGTACGGAGGTTTCCGGAAAGGCCTCCACCGTACCCAAACGCTGTTATGTCGCGCATCCTCGAGCTGATCCACGGCTGGAAAGAAGGAATTTGCACGGAATCAAGGTGGAAGGAAGATCTGGGAAATATCAGAGATATGCATAGGCTATTAACGTTCAAAGGCTATCGATTCAGAGACTTTGCACCGCGAGGACAGAGAGAGATTGGCGCGACAAGCACTGCTGTGAGTTATCGCTCTATTCCCGATTTTTTTTCAGGTTGAGCTCACGCTCCACAAAGAATCTCAAAACGGCGACAGAACTTGAAACTGAAGATCGCGAAGCTCAATCCGCCAAACTACAAGAGCTCATCAGACGTGGGACTCCTCGAGATCTTGCTGCTGCGCAGGAACTCATGAAGGCGTTGGCTGGAGCGAATCCCGATGCAAAGCCAGATTATCGCTCACAGGCGTTGAATGAAATCAACAAGCTTGAGAGCAAAGTTATCCTGCTGAACGAGATGCTGGATAATGTCGACACCGAGAGGGGAGAAAGATTCGTGCAGGGAGATGCGTACGATCAAGTGGCTTCAATACTATCTGCTGCTCGGCCGAAACTACAGAAATGGGTATCAGAAGCAGGGAGTAGCGAACCAGACTCGGATTCAGAATCTCTAGGTACGTCCTGTCTTCATCCTGGATTTCATCTACTAATCACTGATTCAGACACCTTCCTCCAAATGAACGACCAAATCAACACCGTCTTGAATCGATATGAGGCGTTCAAGACGGGCGATTATTCTTTCGCAGCAAATCCCATTCCTGCTGAATTATCCAACGCGACCGCTGGGCTTTCGCTCATCGATCTCGCCGAGGGCGATTCTGCGAACGGCTCGACAGCAGGTAATGGTGCTGCACCCGGAGGACAGGATCTCATGGGCCTCTTCGGTCCCTCTAACACTATGCCTGTGATGGAGTCGAGAATAGGTCTCGGGCTGCCGGGAATGAATGTGGGGACATCAACACCTCCGATACCTGCTACACATACCCCACCGATATACGGTTCTCCCATGGCGTCCCAAAGTCCACCAATGTACAGCTCTCCTATGTCAACGACCGGCCTAAACTCATCGATGGGTATCGGCTACGGCGTCCCTAGCTTCGCAGGCACACCAAGCATAAACTCAATAGCTCAGCGATCCATGCCTTTCTCCACACCTCGGGTCCCAAGTTCAACTTCATCTCCAGCGCCCCCCTCCCAGACGCCTAGTTACTTCCTCCAACAGGGTTCCCAAGCAGCTCCAGCTTCGTCGCCCATGTCTCAATTCGGGGTCTCCTCTCAGTCTACATCATCGCGTCCTATGCAAACGCCCCCAGTACCGACTATGCGGTCGTTCTCTCCGCAGACGCAGTCGCCACCTGCGCCAGCATCCGCAGCTGCGACGCAGCCACAGAAAGATCCTTTTGCCGACCTAGCGGGCCTATTTTAATACAATTCTCCGTTTTGTATCTGGGTTTGGAGTTGGAGGGGGAGAGAGGGGAAGTTTACCGCCTCCGTTTGTGTCGGGTGGCTAAGGGCGTGAGCCATAGTTCAGTATACACAGTGCTCAATGATTAGCAGGTGATTTATTGATTAAGGAAGTAGCTATAGAATGGATATGCACATATGCAGTACCAGCGAGAAGAAGAGCGGAGGGTGTAAGAAGAGCGAAAGCATTGTGGGTGACGATCGGAAAAAATGCAAAAGTAGGGGTTGTACTAATTATTGGAATGTTGTTGAACGCTGTTCTTTCTATCGCTATCCCTATATTTCTTGGTTTGATACACTGTCATGCGAGCCCGAGTGTACGCGCTTAGGTCGGTAAGTACGAATTTTGGTCGGATTGCTTTTAGTGAAATACCGCGGTAGTTATGCTTCCTCTAGTTCAGGTTGGAAATTGAAATGTTAATTACCGAGACCCCGTAGCTCAGCGGTAGAGCGTGAGATTCCAGTGGACCCAATCATTGTTGCAGTTCTCGAATCCTCAAGGTCATCCGTTCAATCCGGGTCGGGGTCAATCATGCTTGGTTTGGGTTGGTTGTGTCTTTTTAAGCACTCCAGCCCTTGACTCCCGGATTCGCCTCCCCTTATTCTGCAGACATCCTCTCTCCACTGCAAGGTGCTTATGCTGAATATTCTGCTATTCAACAACTACTTTCCAAGTAAAATTTGTTTGGGGTAGGTCTATCGGCCAGTACTATCAAGTAGTTCGAAATCGTCCAGAGTCAAATAACTGTTGTGTGATCGGATGGAATCCTGCCTTGAAGAGAGTACTAATTGCATAAACAAGAAAGTTCTCCTTGTCGAGCACATTTACCATGACTTGAAGAGCTGCGATGAGGTCTGAGGCGGAGATAGATATGCACCTGAGGGAAAACGTGGTGATCATACAGGATGATCTGGATATCATTGAGATGATAGCACTGCTGGGCCACTGGCAGCAATCAATGGCGCGCATTCGATTTAGTGCTACCTTAAGCTCTTTCAAGGAGGGAAAGGTGCAGGAGGAAAATACCATCTGCCTTATAGACTGCCACCCTAAGTCTTCGCAGATGAAAAGTGAACTGATGTTAGACAATGTATCCTGTGGCTTAAACTTTGTGAGTTTTGGTAGTCCAGGTTTGGAATTGAGTACCAAAGATTCCAGTGAAGAGCATTTGCGGAGAGCTTCCTGAAATTCTTCTAGTGAGTGGAAAGATGTTTCAGTTGATGGTAGGGAAGCTTAGAAGTAGGCAGTTTATGACTAGTCTCGAGTGCGGTGAGATTTAGAGTATCTTTGAAGGGATCAAGATCATCGGACAGACCACACGCAATAGGGTCCTCCAGGTGTAGATTTGCGAGCGAAGACAGGTCTAAGCAGAAACTTTTACCATAGTAGCAATTCAGTGGGTAACGTCCCCTATATGTGAATGTCTTCCAACGATGGGCATGCCGCATTAGTTGGACCAATCCTGGGGGCTCGGGATGCTGTCTACCAATCTGTATGTCCAACGTGATCACCACGATCTCTCCAAACATAGGGCCAGGATAGAGGTGAAACTCGTTGTGTTCCTGAGATATCCAAACACCCTGACTGTCAGGTTAGACCACAAACCGGGCGAGGACAGTGCAAGTTCACGCCAACGACAGCATACGGAACTGATTGCAATTGTGGGGAGGAATGTGCTAGCAGTGGGTTTTGGTTGGATCGATGAGCCGCTTGTAATGTCGGACGAGTAGATTACTCGATTTTCGTTACACACATATCCAAAGATATGCAACAATGTTTCGTTTGGCAGCGTCCGTATTGGGGACAATAAAGAACGTATCTCTGCCTTCTGGTTGTCCAGTTGTTGATTCTGCGTTTGGACGAGCACGATCTGGGCTTGGAGTTGGTTTATGTCAGATTCATAGCCCTTGGTGTCTTTATCTGCAAGAGCAAGAACCTCGTCGAGTTCTGCGGCTCGACTAGGGTTTATCACAAATGGCCCAAACTCCGTACGAAGTTCCGATCTTACTTGATCCAGTTCTGAAGAACTGAAGATCACGCGTCGGTCAACATGCGTTCTACACATGAGCAGTAATCAGTTTGGTATATGCAGAAGAGCCTGAATATTTCTTACTGGACTTATACAGATGGTCAGCGCTTTAGCAGGTGGTTCAAGTTCAAGGACAAAAAAGGAGTCAATAGGGGTCATAATCTTATCTTGATCTTATCGTAATCTTGACAACGTGACCATTCGCGGCTCGAACGAAAACCTCCAACGAGGTAATGTTTCCTTAAATTGCATGATAGGTGGCTCGAGTAAACCCAATATGTCATTTGGACTCTTGGCTAACTCTTACTGACGACGTTTCGAGACCCGTTTCAACGGTAGATTGAAAGCTCTCCATCGAAGCAGCCGAAATTGAATACTACTAGGCATATCGCGCGTCCAATAGACCCATGAATACGATGATATCGATACAACAATACCAAGACCAAAAGATTCCAAAATAATTACCGCAAGATTCGGACGGGATGTAATAGTATGATGATGGCACTAGTAATCTCGCCGTTTTACCTACCTGTGATTAGAGACCAGAATACAGAAAGCATAGGCTAAGATAGGAACCCGCTTCGGGGATCCAATCGGCAAGCAGAAACGAGAAATCGTCGACTTCCTTATTTGGCAAGTTCACGCCGACCGCGGATGCTCGGCCGAGGGACCAAACAACGTAATCATTCATATTCGTATTCAAATCGATCCGTTCGCGCATTTTGCATCCCAAATATGGATACTCCGATAGCGCTGGAAAATTGATTTGTATTGTCTACTTTCGACCTTGGCACTTGTGCACCACTTTCGAGATGATTGGTGGATTCCATTCATTCGGGGTTCTGCCGCCGCGTACTGCATACTCTAGTCGTATACAGCTTGCAAGGTATAAAGGCCATATTACAGTCCAAGTAACGAAAACCCCACCCCACTTACTCCGACTTGCAAGATGAAGAACGGCCTTTATTCCCTTCTATCTCTTCTTCTCACCCTCAATGTCGTTGACTTATCTGTCGCTAAAAATGCTTCGCTCGTAGTCGACCTCGGTTACGCAGAATATCAAGGAGTTCTCAACGATAACACCTCGAATGTGGACTTCCTTGGTATCCGTTATGCAAAGCCTCCAACTGGTAAAGTCACCGTACACCTTACCGATCCTAACTGCCAGGGTTGACACTGTTCCACAGGTGCTCTGAGATGGAAAGCTCCCCAATATCCGGATCCAGTGCCAGGGATACAGCTCGCCAATTCTCAGCCGCCACTATGTCCTCAAGCTTTTGGAGGTATATCACAGTCAAATCCGTTTCGGAACCTCAGCGGCGCTGTCAGCCGCCGCGATATCCCAGGGCTTCCGCCTAACCAAGACGAAGACTGTCTCTACTTAAAGTAAGTATACGGGAGTGCCTCTTAAGTCGACAATGGTATGTTGACAAAGCCTTTTCATTAGCGTACATGTACCCGGCTCGCAATTTAACGGGGCTGACGCCACTTACAATGACGCGCAAGGTCTTCCGGTCGTGGGTGAGTGGTGTTCAAAAATTCTTGAAGTCAAGGCTAATAACCGACCTTTGAAAGTGTATATTCATGGAGGCGGGTAAGTCCATCCGTGATTGATCCTTCGACAACTTGGTGAATGCTTGTCATAGCTTCGTCTTTGGTGGTATTTCCAACGCCAGTTTCCCCGGGTCGGTAGGAGGCTACGATGGAGAGGACCTTCTCAGGAATGCGAACAATGGGGTCATTGCTGTTATCATTCAGTACCGCCTAGGACTGTTTGGCTGGATGGCCGGCGAGAGTATCAAAGCTGATGGTGATCTTAATCAAGGACTTTGTGAGTACCATTGTATTCACAACTCCTTAGTCCTCGATGCTCACAAGCGGAATCCTATATTAGTGGATCAGCAATTCGCTCTAAGATGGGTGCAGCAGCATGTAAGTGCACCTCCCCTGCTCTCGCTATACGATCCTCTTCAATTGATTTCACATCTTCAGATCTCAAAATTCGGCGGCGACCCAAGTAGGGTTACAATCTGGGGAGAATCGGTATGACTCAAGCTGTATCTACTCTGAGCTTACTGAAATTGATCGTGGTGTGCAGGGAGGCGGAGGTTCGGTTCTCACCCACATCGTAGCCAACGATGGATGCACAGAACCGCCACTTTTCAAAGGAGCTATATCGAGCTCTGGAGTGCTGGTTCCGTATCTCCCTTACAATCATCCAATCCCCGAAGTAAGCATGGCATTTGTGATAAGAATGGGTGGTTTAATTTTTGTGTTTGATAGACGCTTTATACTCAAGTTGTCGAACAAGCAAAGTAAGTAGTGATTCACGTTCGAAGTCTTTGTTTTCCTCCTCTTATTCTTCATTCTCCCCTCAGCTGTTCAGGTTCCCAGAATACTCTAGCCTGTCTCCGAGCAGCGGATGTAACAGTCCTAGCGGCGGCGAATCTACAAGTTAATGACGAAGGATACATCGGGACTTATCCTTTCGGCCCAGTCATCGACGGTACTTTCTTGACCCAAAGGCCAACCCAATTGCTGTCGGCGGGAAAGATAAACAAGGCAAGCATCGTCGATTCTCTAAGCTCTACCAACTCCAATTGCTCATTGAATTTTTGACGAATAGGTGGAAAAGTTCCTCGGGGTGCACAACTCTGACGAGGGAACGATATTTCTCTTGGGGAACAATGTGACCAGTCTCGTGGACTTTACTGAGAACCTATTCTCTGCGATGTCGGAAAACAATATTGCGGAAGTTTCAAGCCTATACTCTGGCCTTGCGCCCACGGTAGCTGCCCAGAGTGCCTTGGTTTATGGAGAATGTAAGCACTCTCCTCACTAATCTATGGATGAAATAATGACACATTGAACTTGGAACGTAGCCACGTTTGTTTGCCCCACTTACTACTACTTGGAAACTCTTCATGGCATTGCATACAAGGTACGTATTCAACTTTTTCTGGTTCCCTATCTACGAGAGATTGAACATGATTGAACATTTTTGTAGGGCATGTTCGCCGTTGCTCCCGCCTTTCATACTGCCGACGTATTCTACTACTTTAACACCTCGTAAGTGACCAAACTGAGAGTAATCTCAAGTTTCAACTGAAGGCTCAACCTACATATCTCCTCTCTCAGGCTCCAGTCGGCTGAAATCCCTAAATTCAACAACCAATCTTTCCAGCAAGCATTTGCACAGGGCTTCCTTACCTTCGCATCATCGAAAGACTTCAACCCAAATGGAAAATTCGACCAGACTATCACCCCGGAATGGCCTTTGTGGGACTCCCAGAACAGCGAGATGGTTTTTAACAGATCTGCTGATGGGTTGCCTGCTGTTGGGGTGGTGAGCAGTGATGAGGGATTGTTGAGCAGGTGTAGATTCTGGCATAGTGTTACGAATGAGACGTTTCAGTAGGACTGGTAGGACCGCTAGAGGATTGCTAGAAAATTGTTGGAAGTGGCTGGTGCTACTAGTAGCCAGCTCGTAATTTAGCTT